CCTTTTAATTATGTTTGAAATTATGAACATTGCTCAACATCATGAAAATTAAACCTTATTTTCAATAAGCAATCCTGAAAAATATTTGGGGGTGCTTAACTTTTTTCCAGGTGTATATTTTATTATTTATGTCGACACACATCAACAGGCGCCTGTGGGTGCTATAACATTAACATCAGCAGAGATGATTTAGCCCCTGACAAAATGCTGGTTGCACTCGCTAACTTTATGAAAGCTGGTTGAGCAAGGTAAAGCATAGAATAAGCTTAAAAAATCATTAATACTTTCATATATGAATTTCAAAACACAAATAATACATAATTAACTAAAATATAAAGTAAATCCAAATGCAATTTAGCTGGTTATCAAACTAATATGTATAAGGCGAGAAAAAACAGTAAAGCACTAGGGACAACAATGTCCAACAATATACTAAGAAATTGTATGCCTATGTAGTCAATGTTAACATTACAAGTAGGTACAACATAATTTACAGGCAAGACTCTACAAAATCTGCTCTTTCTATTGGTTATAAGCATGCCATTCAATTGAAAACTGTTGTTTAGCACCACTTCTTCTACCTTGCAAGTGGACGTGGCTTATTTTAAACTGAGGAACTTTTACAGTAGTTTGCCCTAGAACAAAAGTTTTTGGAACATACTCAAATTACTGGTAAATAACCTAAATAGGATGTACTTTGACCGTTTGAACAGAAACGCACAGCAGTTTCTTCTATACCAGCTCTTAAAGTTGATAATTGTAACCGCAATGGTGCTTGTACAAAAAACTGTAGATTTAATTATTGTTGTAGAGGTTTCTTTTGAAATAAAGGAATAAAACTTAGATAATAAACGTTGAATTATAATGTACTTGATAAAACCCATTTTATTAAAATATATTGATAGTAAAGTGGTTTAATTAAATTTTGAAAGTAATGCAGTAACATGCACAAAGAGGGTTTTAAAAATGGCATCATCACTATAGGGTTAATAAGGTTCTGTATTGATTAATTTTAAATAACATAATGAGATAGTTGATGAGACTAAATCTTATGTGAATAACCAATGACTGTTTGGCATTTTTGTATTTTAGGTTCTACAAATACTAATCACTTTTAAGCAATCACATTTTCTGATATCTTGCCATTCTGTCTTGAGAAATCATGTTAAACACATATTTTATACTTAAGTCTGTATCTAGTACTTAGAATCTTTTTTCAAGGAATAATGTAGCATTTCTCAATATCTCTTTATGAGACCCCTATACTTAATGCTGTCTCATTATCAATGCAGTTTTTTCACCAATTCTACCAAAAACTAAACCTTATAAAATAATCTCACATAATTTAATGTTTTAATATGATAATGATAACTTCATGTGATGAAACTGGAATTATTTATTTAAGTAATTTTTTTAATTTCTAAGGAACCATGCTGATTACAATTTGTCAAAACAGGCTACAAATTTGATGCATAAATCTCCCCTGTTCTTAGAATTGTTTATTGTCAGAAATAGAAAAGATCTGGAGCACTGTCATAAAACATTACATTAATACCAGTCATCACAAATCTTGTGTTTCTTGAAAGTTGTTTATTGCTTAAAGCTTTCTATTTTATACTACTTTTAACCAATATTTTTTAAGTTTGATATTTTGTTTGAAGACCTGACATCACTGAGAGTATTTATTATCATTTTTTGCTTGGAGATTTACACCTTCAGAACTACAAATTATTTCTGATATTTTGAAAAGTGTTTCTTTTGCCTAACAGTTTCAGTTTTATACTTTTAATATATAACATAATATGGTCAAACTTTTGATACAGAATTAAGAATGAGAACATTAATAAACTGCTGTGCGTGTCAAAAACAAAAACTATGTAACATGAAAGCCAACATCTATAACACAAAGAGCAACGATAGTTTTCAAACACTCACGAGCATGAGCTAAGCTAAGAGCCCACAGACGCAGATAAGAAGCAGTGTGAGAAATGGATCCCAAACAGTATTCAATGGTATGAATAGCCTGATGAATGAATACATC